ATTGAAGTTTGGGAACATGTATTAAAATGGGGTCTTGCACAAAATCCTACACTTCTTCCAGATCCTAATACTTGGTCAGATGATGATTTCAAAACAATGGAAAATACTTTACAACATTGTTTATCTTTAATTAGATTTTTTAGTTTATCATCTAAAGAATTTTTACAAAAAATTCATCCTTATAAAAACCTTTTAAAACGTAAACTTTACGAAACTTTGTTAAATTTTCATTTGGATCCCGATTTTGATTCAACTGACAATATTTCACTTCCCAGAAATCCTAAAATTGATGGAATTATTGATTCAAAAATTGTAAATAATTTAGATATTATTTCAACAATTTCAAGATGTATTGCTGATGTTAATAGCAAAATTTCGCATGTCAGAAAATTTCATTTACCGTACAATTTTCAATTATTATTAAGAGGAAGTCGAGATGGATTTACACCTAAAAAATTTCACGAATTATGTAATGATATATCTCATACCGTTACATTTATTAAAGTAAAAGGAACAGATGAAATTATTGGTGGATATAATCCGTTAATATGGAGGAGATCTTCTGGTAGTTGGGATAAAACTAAAGATAGTTTTATTTTTTCTTTCAAAAATAATGATGTCAAAGATGCAATTATTAGTAATATAGAAAATATAGATTATGCAATATATTGTCGATATGACCATGGTTCGCGTTTCGGTGATGATATTGTCATGCATGCTTCTGGTGGGGAATGCGCATATTACAATGATATTCGTTGTAAAAAGGTGCAATATAATAAAAAGATAAGAGATACCGAGGGTAATTTTTCCATAGATGATTATGAAGTATTTCAAATAGTAAAGAGATAAGGCTGCTCCAAGCCAATTCTTTGTTTAACATAACATAGGGGCCCCAATCTAGGGGGGGGGGAGGGTAATATTGGCCAAAATTTTGACCAAAAGAGTGAGCAAAAATTTTGGATGATAATTCCGGCCAAGACTTAAAGATTTGTATAATTCCGGCCTAAATTACATGTATTTTTTTTACATAAAAAATCCAAAAACAGGGGGGAGGGGGTTATGTTAAACGAAAAATTGAATTGGTGCGGCCTAAATGCAGTATTATCAAATAAGTTGTATCGATCTTATTTGAAATGAAATAAGAATACTTTTATTAGATTATTATTTAATATGTTTCACTTTATAAACATTGTATTTGTGAAATCTTTTAACTCGACTCTAAATTAACATTTCATTTGTTTCATTTGTAAATTAAATTATTATCATACTTAATAAATATTTCTAAAATTCCATTAGGAAAAAAAAACCTTCGATAAATATGGCTCCAATTCTCATATCTCGAAGTTTTTTAATATATATTTATACAGTTGACTTTCATCAGTTTTTTCTTTAGCAAAACTTTTGAGAATGATCAGTGGAAAGAGTTCTTTTCCTGATTAAAAAATATATTCATTACAACGAAGGATAAAAAGATAAATGATAATTAGTCGCTTCCTTATGATTCCAAAAGGAATCAATTAAATTATTTTAACCAAATGGCCAAAAAGTACGTAATTTATGATTCGATCGAGAGTAAATACTCTCATCAGCTGATCGCAGTACTTGTCCTATGGCGCAGTAAAATTCTATTTTGGAAAGAATTACGTTAATACTTATTCAATTTAACCATATCAACCACACCTGAAACAATTACTACAATTACTTTCAAATAAGTAAACGATAAGCATAATAAATTTACACAATATTAACCACAAATTATTTTTTGAGTCGACGCTACCTCAATTTCAATTTTAAATATAAATTATGTCAACGCAATTTCTTTCAAAATTAAGTCAAAATTATATTGAATTATTAGGAGATAATGAATACTATGATGTTACAATTGAAGTTGGTGAAGATCCTAATGTAAAAATCCTTCGTGCACATATAAATATTTTGTGCTATCGTTCTCCATATTTACGACGAATTTTAGCTTCCAGTAAAAAAAATAAGGATAATGTTCTAGCTCATATTAAGTTACCAAACATATCACCTGAAGTCTTCCAAATTATTTTAAAGTAAGTTTTATTTATAATAAATAAATTTATGCGTATTACATAATCAAATATTCAAATAGGACCCCGAGCTATACATAAAAAGGTAGGGTAAAGGTTTGCGTAGAATTGACCAAAATAATCATGTAGATCTTTCCTTTTATAGATATTCCGGCCGGAATTTATTTCCCTTTTTAGACGCTGACTGGCATTATCATAATTCCGGCCCTGAAAAAATGCGTAGAGCTAATAGTAATTTTTTTTTGACTGCACCTTACCTCTATATATATAGCTCGGGGTCCTATTCAAATACTAAATTTAAATTATTAAATTTTTGTATTATAGGTATATTTATGGTGGTATTCTTTCATTAAATGATCATGATACTTCAGAAATTTTCAAAATTTTATTGGCTGCGGATGAGCTGCTTCTTCAGGAACCAGTTGACTATTTACAAAAGTATTTAATTGGAAATAAATCCGAATGGATGGAACAAAATTTTGAACTTATTCATCGAACAAGCTTTCAATCAAATTCTTTATTACAACTTCAACAATTTTGTACAAATTTTATGGCAAAATCTCCAGAGAAAATATTTAAATCACTTGATTTCACTTCGCTTCCGGAACAATCTTTAGTTCAACTCATTAAAAGAAATGATTTGCAAATGAAAGAAATTGAAGTTTGGGAACATGT